GTCATAAACCCCAGAGCCCTGTGTCCAGCCCGGCAGGCCCAGTGTTTTGGGGGATGCTGTGGGCCAGGCAGCTCAGGGTGCAGCTGTGATCTGTCTCCTCCCTTCACCCGCTGGCCCGGGCAGCTGGGGATGTGCCTGTGGGCAGAGCCACCCTGTGTCGCAGGCCAGTGGACGAGCACCTGGCAGGAGGACTGTTAGGTTTAGGCCTCTGGTCCTGGGACCCCGGTAGGCCACGGGGTGGATGGCTGCCTACTGGGCATGGGGTGGGGCTAGTGCAACGGCGGATTGTGGGATGAGACCCTGACAGGGGAAGGGGTAGAGACACAGATGGGTCGTCTACCTGCAGCTGAGCGTGGAGCCCAAGCCACTCTGTCCTTCCTGTGCCCCACCCTCTGGTCCCCCGGCCCGATCCTCCCAAAGCCCAGGGCAGAGGGCCAGGCTAGGCCCCCCTCGCAGAGGGGAGCTGAGCCTCAGGGAGCTTTGGGGACTCGGCTGCTGCCGGCAGAGCTCACCGCCTGGGAGGGCCCGCGCCAGAGGCCCTGTCTGAGGCGCGCGTTCGGAAACAGCGTGGCTGGGATCAGAAGCGGGTCCGGCTGCAGGCCGGGGGTGCGGGGGCTGCGTGACCCCTCACTGAGGGTCCTCCAGCGCAGGGGAGCTGAGCGGGGCTGTCGGGGCTCGGGAGCCTGAGGGCCACATGCTCACACCGTGTTCTGTGTTCCAGTGTCCCCGACCAGCCCCAACGTCTTCCCGCTGAGCCTTCAAAGCACGGAGCAGGGCGACCCCGTGGTCATCGCCTGCCTGGTCCAGGGCTTCTTCCCGCAGGAGCCGCTGGAGGTGACCTGGAGCCAGGACGGGGAGGACGTGACTGTCACACAGTATCTGCCCACCGAGGCTGGCACGGAGGGCCTGTACACCGCCAGCAGCCAGCTGACCCTGCCGGCCGACCAGTGCCCGGCTGCCAAGTCCGTGCAGTGCCACGTGGAGCACAACTCGGACTTCAGCAAGGATGTGTCCGTGCCCTGCACCACCCCAGGTCAGAGGGCAGGCTGGGGGAGGGGAAGGGAGAGGAGAGGAAGGGGGCCCCATCCTGCCCTGACCCAGGGCCTGCACCCTGCCCCGGGGGAGCCACCCCTCATTCGGACAGGAGTGGGCTGCCGGGCTGAGCCCCAGGTCACGGCGGCAGACGGGTGGGGCCCAGCGCTGGGTGAAGGCGAGGGGCGGCAGGGGCGTGAGGACCTGCTCAGGCCTCTCTCGACTCTGCCTGCTGTGCAGACCCACCTGTGCCCTCCTGCTGCCATCCCAAACTGTCACTGCACCCACCGGCCCTCGAGGACCTGCTTCTGGGCTCAGACGCCAACCTCACGTGCACACTGAGCGGCCTGGTGGACCCCGAGAACGCCGTCTTCGCCTGGCAGCCCTCGGAGGGGAAGGACGCCGTGCAGGAGGCAGCCGTGAGGGACTCCTGTGGCTGCTATAGTGTGTCCAGTGTCCTGCCCGGCTGCGCCGAGCCGTGGAACCACGGGCAGACCTTCGAGTGCTCCGCCACCCACCCTGAGTCTGAGACCACACTGACCGCCACCATCGCCAAAGTCTCAGGTGGGCCCAGACCCACCCCCAGGGCGCTGCACAGCTCTCCACGGTCTGTGAAGCACGTTTCCCAGCCCGCCTCCGCCGGTCCCTGGGCTTGGGCACTCCCGTCCGCCTGTACGGAGGGAGGCTGAGGCCAGCTGAGAGGCCAGGACACAGCTCAGGGTGCCCGGCAGGGCAGGGCCCCCTGCCCTCCCTGCGCAGCCCCCTGACCTTGCTGTCCACCCCACAGGCAACACCTTCCGGCCCCAGGTCCACCTGCTGCCGCCGCCGTCGGAGGAGCTGGCCCTGAACGAGCTGGTGACGCTGACGTGCCTGGTGCGCGGCTTCAGCCCCAAGCAGGTGCTGGTGCGCTGGCTGCAGGGGTCCCAGGAGCTGCCCCGAAGCGACTACCTGACCTGGCCCCCCCGGCAGGAGCCCGGCCAGGGCGCCACCACCTTCGTGGTGACCAGCGTGCTGCGCGTGTCGGCCGAGTCCTGGAAGAACGGGGACAACTTCTCCTGCATGGTGGGCCACGAGGCCCTGCCCCTGGCCTTCACGCAGAAGACCATCGACCGCCTGGCGGGTAAACCCACCCACGTCAACGTGTCCGTGGTCATGGCAGAGGTGGACGGTATCTGCTACTGAGCCGCCCGCCCACCTGCCCCTGAATAAACGCCGAGCTCGCCCCACGCAGCCCTGTACTTCCATCTGGCGCCTGTCTGTCTGTCCCCACGGTCACCAGGGAGGGCCGGGCCGGGGAGGGAGGAGCACCCCTGCCCTGAGCTCTCCGGGCCTATGGCAGCTCCAGGAGCCTTCACCCAGGGCCGCGGCTGGGCCGCGGGAGCCTGTGCGCAGGGGCGAGGCCGGCTGGGTGTGGAACCTGAGGTCAGCCAGGCAGGTCCTGAGAGACCCGGGCCCAGGGACAGCTCCTGCGCGGGCAGGCAGCACGGCTGTTGGTCCTCTGGCTGTCACTGGGAAGGCATGAGAGAGGCTGAGAGAGGGACAGGCCGGCCAGGGCGGGACAGAGGGGAGGGAAGGAGGTGCCGGCCCCAGCCACCGGGAGCAAGAGCGTGCCACCCTCGGCGGTCAGCCTCAGGCTGCAGGACAGCCTTACCGACTCACAGAAGGGGAGGCAACCCCTGCCCAGCCCCTCTCCACACTGCTCTGCACACATGCACATGGACACACGTACACACGTGTGCACACACACTCACGTCTGAGCCCTGCAGATGCAGAAAGTTCACAGCCCAGACCCAGCCTGGGTCTCAGGAAGGCAAGGGGAGTGTCCCCCCAGCCCCCAGCAGGGATTCCCCTGACCCGGCCTCTCCCAGGCAGTCCTGATCCCCGCCTGGCCCCCAGACTCAAGTCTCCCATCCCTCCCTGAGCCCAGGCAGGGCCCAACCCATAGCCGGGGGTGGGGGGGCAGTGCTGGGGAGGGTCAGAAGCAGCGGGGAGAGGCAGCTCCTCCGGGCCCCCCTCAGGCCGCTGCAGCAGAGCAGCCCCACGGCCGCGGGGACACCTGCACCGCGCTCCCACAAGGGGGCAGGGGCCTGCTCCTGTCTCAGACACCGCACGGCCTCCCCAGGGGACCTGGCCTCTGGCTGCCTCCCTCTGCTCAGGGCCCAGGTGGGGTGGAGGCCCACACACGCCCACCACTGCTCCCTACTGCTCCTCGCTGAGCGTGCAGTCACCAAAGGCAAAAGGGACAGCAGCCAGTCAGGCGGGGAAGTGCGGCCCAGAGACGTGCTGCAGCCGCCCTCAGGACCCAGGCCCGGCCCGAAGGAGGGGCTTACTAAGGAGACGGGGAGAGAGTCAGAGGTGGGGGCTGCCCCAGCGGAGGGAGAGAGGCAGGCGGGGGATGGGTCACGGACATGTGATGGGGGCGCCAGTGAATGGGTGGTAGACAGATAACAATGCCTTTATAGACGGACAGGTGCATGGACAGGCGATAGCTTTATAGATGGACAGGTGATAGCTTTATAGACACACGGGTGGGTGGACAGGTGATAGCTTTATAGACGGACGGGTGTGTGGATGGGTGAATGATCAGAGGTACCAGCACAGGACAAGCAGGTACAGCTCTACATGGGAAGTCTGTACCCTGAGAGCCCGAGGGCAAAGGGGCTGGCTGTGCTGGTGGCCCTCCCCTGGCCCACCCTCGTGGCTCCTCAGCCACGTCCCCTGGGAAGGCAACAGAAGCCCTGGTCTCGCCCACTGGGCCCTTGGCACTCTGAGCCCCAGACCTAGGTCTCTGTCTGCACCCAGGTCTCCTTGAGGGCGGGTGTGCCTGGTCTTCCAAGAGCCGGCCAGGTGAGGGCTGGCCAGGCATGCAGGTGGGCGGGGACCAGGGTCGCCTTGGGCTCAGGCTGTCCTTGGAGTGGCTGACGGCCACCCTCTGCCCTTCCAGGTCTCTCTCCCAGGCACCCTGGGCCCCTCAGAGATGGGGGTCCCTGCCTCCCGTCCCTCCTGAGATGGGGAATCCCCACCGCCACTATCCCCTGACCCCGAGGAGGGGCGGGAGGGGAGGGCACAGTCCTGGCTCCCCACTCACTTAGTGTGTTGCAGGTTGGTGGGAGCCGCTTCCTTGCGCGGTGCTGGACCTGCCGCAGGAGACCCTGGAGGAGGGCGCCCCGGGGGCCAGCCTGTGGCCGACCACCATCACCTTCCTCACGCTCTTCCTACTGAGCCTGTTCTACAGCACGGCGCTGACCGTGACAAGCGTCCGGGGCCCCGCTGGCAGCAGAGAGGGCCCTCAGTACTGAGCAGGGGCAGCGGGGCACAGGTGGGGGCCTGGGGCGAGGATGGGGCGGAATGGGCGGAGGGTCCTCAGCTCTGAGGAGGGCACAGCCTGTCCCCACCGCAGGGACCTGCTCCCCAGGGAGGGGTCCCTCCACAGACAGCCTGGAGTCAGGGCTGAGCCTCCCTTGGGTGCAGTCACTCCCCACCCAACCCAGGCTCCCTGAGCCAGGCCAGGAGCGGGTGGAGGGCGTCAGGAGCTCCGGCAGGTGCTGATCGCTCTTGTCTGTGCAGGGAGGAAGCGTGGAGGAATCGCCGAGAAGGCAGCTGCACAGGCCAGAACCCAGCCCTGCCTGAAGCCAGCGCCTGCCCCACTTGCTTGCCTCCCCGTGCAATAAAGTGATCCAAGGACTAAGGTTCACAGACTCTGAACGCGGAGGAGGGGTCAGGGAAAGGGCCGGGGAGGCCAACCTCGAGGCCCACGGGGAGTCACGGTGGGCAGGGATAGAGGGTGCCTCTCGTCCAGCAGCCAAGTCGTGACCCGGCATTGTAGGAGCTGACGCCCGAAGAGGATAATGCTGGGATCATCAGGGGGATGTCACAGAAGGCTATATCCCAGAACCATGCACAGAACGCTGGTCCCCATCACGGGGCCATGAAACAGATCACTGGGCCCTGATCCTGGTCACCAAGCCCTCGTCCTGGTCACTGTGCCCTGGTCCTAATCACTGAGCCCTGGTCCTGATCACTGAGCCCTGGTCCTAATCACTGAGCCCTGGTGCTGATCACTGAGCCCTGGTCCTAATCACTGCACCCTGGTCCTGGTCACTGAGCCCTGGTCCTAGTCACTGCGCCCTGGTCCTGGTCACTGAGCCCTAGTCCTGATCACTGAGCCCTGGTCCTGGTCACTGAGCCCTGGTCCTGGTCACTGAGCCCTGGTCCTAGTCACTGAGCCCTAGTCCTAGTCACTGAGCCCTAGTCCTGGTCACTGAGCCCTAGTCCTGATCACTGAGCCCTGGTCCTAATCACTGAGCCCTAGTCCTGATCACTGAGCCCTGGTCCTGGTCACTGGGCCCTGGTCCTAATCACTGAGCCCTGGTCCTGGTCACTGGTCACTGGGCCCTGGTCCTAATCACTGGGCCTGGTCATGGGCACTGAGACCTGGTCCTGGTCACTGAGCCCTAGTCCTGGTCACTGAACCCTGGTCCTGGTCACTGAACCCTGGTTCTAGTCACTGAGCCCTAGTCCTAGTCACTGAGCCCTAGTCCTGGTCACTGAGCCCTGGTCCTAATCACTGAGCCCTGGTCCTAATCACTGAGCCCTGGTCCTGATCACTGGGCCCTGGTCTTAATCACTGAGCCCTGGTCATGGGCACTGAGCCCTGGTCCTAATCACTGAGCACTGGTCGTGGTCACTGAGCCCTGGTCCTAATCACTGGGCCCTAGCCCTCATCACTGGACCCTGGTCCCAAAAACTGGGCCCTGGGCATGGTCAATGGGCCCTGGTCCTAATCACCGAGCACTGGCTGTGGTCACTGCACCCTGGTCCTGGTCACTGGGCCATTTCTCATCACTACATCTTGGTTCTGGTTCCCGTCCCCTGATCCTGATTTCATGCATGTTGATTTTGAGGTCTGAGCCCTTGTTCTGAGCCTGTGTCACTCTGTCTTAGACACTGAGCCTGTGTCTGTGTCCTGAGCCTGACCCTCATTAGGAGTGACCAGTAGAAATTCACAGAGGTGTCCCAGGGGGCCGAGACCCTCTGAACCCAGGCACTGGGCAGAGGAGGAAGTCACAGCCCCAAAGGGTCTTGGGCCCAGGGGCTGTGTAGCCACCAGGTTGACTTGATGGACAGAGGGTCTGCCCCAGCCCCGTGTGCTGGGCCCCAGCCTGGGGGGCTCACCAGGTCAGGGGTTCCAGTGGGGAGAGGGGCTACAGCACAGCAGTGGGACGGGAAGGGGGAGGCGATGGTGTTTGTGTTCTCTGGTTTTTCTCTTTCTTCTGAAGCCTCCTTTGGCCCAGCACCTGCTGGAACACCCAAAATAGCCCCATGGGGTGGCTGAGTCATTGTGAATGCAGCCCAGCCCAGGTGTCCCAGGCAGGGAGCTACTGTTCCGAGAACCACATCCCAAAACTGAGACCTGGCCAGGTGGGCCTGCGGCCTGTGCAAGGGGCTGCGGCCCAGGAGAGCCCTGTGGGGGCAGGGCAGTCCCGGGGCCTGCAGAAGGCCCAGCCCCACCATCCCAGGCCAGCCAGGCCTTCTAGGGTCAGCTGAGATCACGCAGGGTCAGCCAGGGTCAGCCAAGATCAATCTGGGGTCAGCCAGGATGACTGAGGTTCAGCCAGGGTGAGGAGAGGCAGCCTGGTTTCCGCAGCACCTGCACAGGCCACTGTGGCGTCCACCCCAGCTGGGCCGGGTCAGCCCGGGCTCTCCAGGCTGCAGGGCTCACCGTGCAGCCCCTGAGGGCCACGCCTACTGCACAGCAGACCCAGAGGGGCGCTGGAGTCGAGTGTAAGGCATTGACCTCCGCCAGGCACAGACCCTCCCTCAGCGTCCCTGCGGCCATGGCCAGGGCCAGATGGCGGCCGCACCCCCGGCTGTAGCTGACCCCACAGGCCGTGCCCAGGGCAGGCCCTGCTGCGGGGCTCAGGGCAGGACCTGCAGCCCACCCCGGGAACCTGAGCGTCCAGCAAGGGGAGCCCGAACCAGGGTCCGCCAGGAGAGACAGAGACACTGACAGGGACAGGACACTGACAGGGACAGGGACAGAGACACTGACAGAGACAAGGACACTGACAGGGACAGAGACACTGACAAAGACAGAGACACTGACAGAGACAGGGACACTGACAGACAGGGACAGAGACACTGACAAAGACAGAGACACTGACAGGGACAGGGACACTGACAGACAGGGACACTGACAGGGACAGGGACAGAGACATGGACACTGACAG